CTCATTCGAGAGATAATTTTTTTCCGCTCTATCTTAAAAGTAGCTTATGAGTTTGCGCACGCAACGCAGCCTAAAATTAAGAATTAGTCTTTCACGACTTTCACCTAGTATTATATTTTCAGCCTCTCTGATATTTGGCTCGCGATAAAAATAAATTCGATCCGAACGTAGAAATAAATACATCATTACCATTGATTTTACGCATGTGGGTAGTGGAGCCGAACTGTCTGCTTGACCGACTTGTTTTGCGTAAAAATGCATTGCGCGTCATCGCTTTTAATGTAAAATTTGATCAAACGTATGCCACTACTCAGTGATGTATCCAATAGCTGATCAATGATAAAATCAAATTTGTGTGCATAAGTCAAATATAGTATTTCGTTTATTTAAAAATTCACTTTCTTTAGAGATAGACACGTTCGGTATCATAACGCAATTCGAGATTCAATCTATTTCATAGATTTTTTACTTCGATAAATGTTACTTTTCGCAAAAATTTTACAAGAGCCTAATGGTTCCCCTATTGCTTGTCAAGTGAATGAGTTTTCAATTGATTAGCAGAGAAAATTTCTTTGACGATCAATAAGCTAACGCTTATATATACACTTCCCACGGTAAAATTAAACAGAGCTAATTGAATCAGCGAGAAAAATTCACAGCAGCGGCAATCGCAATAAACGAATCTTTTTCTCTTTCTCTCTCGCGTTCTCAGCTCCTAGTGAAATAATCATTTTGTGCTAATGTAATACTCCATAGTGTAAGAGCAAAAGGACCCGTAAAAAGCAAACAGAGTTAAGCAAGCTCGTCAGTGGAGTTGACGCCCGCGCGAGCAATTAAAGATGACGAGGTGGTGCGCCAGCCTTCGCGCTCTTGCTTTATCCGGCTCTCTCTCTCTCTCTCTCCAGGCTGTCGAAGCTCAAGCTCTCTCGCGCAGCTCGCTGGCGCGCGTCCCACTCTCGCATTAATTATTTTCGAACCAAAAAACACTCTTTGCCACTTCTTTTTCTGGCTCGCTGCCTTACGTCCGCGAAGACTCCGCTCGACATTTGGCTCGTACGGCAAATACGCCACTTTGCGCGCGCGCACACACACACACACACACACACACACACACACACACACACACACACACACACACACACACGCACACACAAAATGCTCTAGCTAGTCGACCCAAAAGACCAGATAGACGTGGCGAAAAAAGGGCTGAATTGGCTGTGGACTACATGGATGAGATATTTCCTGGGGATGATGGCTCGACGCCTGCTGCTCTTTTTCACGTTGCGTAACTTTTTCCACGTAAACTTATTTCTGGATTTTACTAAATCTTTCATTCAGCCGCAACTCCGCGGCGAAATCTGCAATATTTTCAATCGCGTCTTTGACAAGCTCTTCGATGACATGCTCGAGATGGCATTTTCATTTCTGGTCCGCCAAGCGTTTCCACGTGCTTCATCGATTTGTTTCTTATGCCAATTTTTTAGATAACACACTCGTGCAACTTTCTTTCGATCTAGATGTGAATGACGACGTTTTAATCTGATCAACCTGAAGAAAGCCGGCTGCGGAAAAATTTTTGGAAGGAAATAAACGTCACGTGAAATTATCTAGATCAAATGACAGAGTCGCCATAACACGTGTAACGCGAGATTTATGTATGTTTCCCTGAGGCCGTATTCCGTTTTCCGTAGTGCGAAGAAAAAAAATTTAAACAGAAGAAACCAACTTTATTTCAGAAGTAGGATCTGTGCGGATGCCGTGCTTCCTTTTTCAAACGTGTAAAATATTCAGTGGCCATCGCGCGTGAATTAGCATCTTCGTACAATCGTGATAAATCTAAATCGCGTGGTATATTCAACATTTTTATTACGTTGTCGCACGGTCTTGTAATGTAAATTGTTCGATACGAAGAAAATTGTAGCGTTCCATCGACATTTGAAACGAAAAAAAATCGGAGAACCGAATACATAAGATTGTGCGCAATATATTTGTTTATTATTTTCCAAAAAAAAAACAAAACAAAAAACAAAAGAAAAAAAAACAAAAAAATATATGAACTGCAAGACACTACGCAAAGTTCGAGAACGTTTCCAAGCAATTTACAAACTGAGTCTCCGTTAAGACCTCGATAAATAACGTCTCGAGGGCGTCGACAAAAGTCACAGTATCGTTTCCCGGGAAAAACAAATCTGTCGGCCTTGTGAAAAAAATTGCCATTAACTTACGCACCAGTGAAAAAGTGAAACTGCACGAGATTATTATTTTTTTTCGCGGCTACGCCTTATTTACCGGTTGGAAAAAGGAAAAAAAAAAACGCGAAACGGTACTCACAAAAATGAACGCCTCGTTTCTCCGTGGGCGCTCTCTTAATTTTCATTGAAAAAACGCGGTGACTATGTGCGTAGAAATACGATATCGGAGCGGAGCGACATTTACGAAGGAGCGAGCGCCAATCGAAAACCCATAAAACATTAAGCAAGTTTAGCTAGTTAAATATCCGCTCATTAAGTTGCATTGCTCGAATAGCCAATTGATGGAAATTCTATTAAGCGCTCATTTGTCACGATTGACGATTCTGCTCTCTGAGCTTGCGTGTTTCGCGTCCCTCATTTCTCCCTCTCTCACTTTATAGTTAATATTTATCTAAAGAGATATACACGTCTCTAAATATTCTACTTAACATTATTGATTGCGACTATCTACTGTATTTTAAAAAACAAAATACAAAAATGTTCGGCTATTATCGCGTATCCAGCGTTAATTCTTTGAATGGCACAAGCTTTTCTCGCTAAATATCGCATATGAGATCTGAAGTTAACCGAGCTGAATAATGTATATAAAAGAATTTGATTAAGACAGTGGCGAGTTGCATCTTCTTGATATGGCAAATGCAATAACGTATTTTCCGGAGAAAACCATTCAACTCACGTAGGCAGAAAAAATTAACCGCAATCGAATAATTTTCATATGCGTTTTATTGAAGTGACAAGAGACAGCCGGTAAAAGACGCGTGCCCGAAATAGTCAACGAAAAATTCATTGTTGTTTTTTCGCGGAGGAAAATCCTTTGGAGTCCGAAAAAAGTTTGAATGAAGGCCTCGCCATTGCTTATCGCGCCTCTCCTCCCCCCCATGAGAACGTTAAGAGGTCACAAGTGAAACAAACAAGCAGTTAGGTCGCTGCAAGGCAATCGATAAGAGCGGGCCAAGTGTATCACACAACCCTTGTGAAGTTGCGGGCTCGGCCGGCATCACCGAAAGATTAGCGAAAGAAACTTGAAAAGATGCAGCTAGCGTTAGGCGACTTTTACTGAGTTTGCCCAGATTTCTCGCGACATGTTGGTGCACGATAAACACTGCGAATGCAATCCACAGGGATGAATATGTTTGCTTATTTGGCAGTCTTCATTTCGTTACTTCGCGAGAGCGTGTGCGTGTACGTGCGTGTACGTGCGTGTACGTGCGTGTGTTTAGCTGTGGTCGTTTTCGCGAGCCTCTTTCCCGTAAACGCTCGATCCGACCGCTATTTGCATGACAGAGCCAGGCTGACAAGCGCTCTCGAGGCCTTTATAACGGTTGCGTCTTCGAATAAAACACGCTGATTTAGCTCCAAGCTCGCGCTCTTAATTTCTCTCATTTTTAAATAAACAACAGCCAAGGGATCTGGCATTTCATAAAGCGCTCGTCACAAGTACACTTCAAAATAGATGAATATTCTGCACAGTACGAGCAAATGCAAGCATTATAATTCCGAATTTTAACAACGTCTGCATTTCAGGTATATTCAATTACAACAAATGGATGCCTGAAAGTCAACAGTTTGAAGTGCGCTTGAATGCGCAGCTCTCTCTCTCTCTCTCTCTCTCTCTCTCTCTCTCTCGTGGTCGCATTAGAGTTCTGAATTATGACCTCGTAAAAAGTCTAAATGAAAGCCTGAACCAGCAGGAGAACGAGTATTTTTAGAAAAACCGCCTATTGTTGCAAGTGCGCTCGCGCGTCCTCGTGCGTATTGTCGTTCTTTCATTGGCTACATTGATACGACAATCTTTCGCTCAAAATTAAAACTGTAAACATATATACGTTGCGTATTTTTCATGATCATTAATTACGACAGGCAGATTATTAAGCTTTCAGCGCGAAGCGCACATGCGATTTAATGCATCCCGCTGATTACTAATGCATTATGTAGCACAACGTAAACGGTATATTTTTCGTGTTTGTTACAATACGAATATATGATTTTCAATAGATGAAATCAGATGAAACGGTTTATCACTGGGCAGCTCGCTGGAAAATATCGATCTTTTCTTTGCAACGTACTTGTTGAAGTTGCCGGGATATAGCGACGTGTTATCAACGAACTGATAGCTCCTATATATCGTGTAGCGCTTATTTTTGAAAAATAACGTAATTTAATTTTGAGCTTGAACGAGCTGATCGAACAATGGGTGGCAAAACGTTAATCTAGTTACATCCCGATTAAATTGAATGATTAGGAAGCGATAAATCACGAGTTCAAATTGAAATAATATTTCACACTGACAAATACGTTCGATTTGGCCCTGAAAGTGAAAAAGTTTGTAAGCAACATATACAAAAGTGAGCGTGCGTATACCAGTAAAAGCGTATAAAGGGCCAGAGTTGGCATCGAAACAACGCATATATGCTGTAGTCGTCGGACGAAGGGTGCGAGCATCGGGACAAGTTCGACTAAACTATTTAGTAGTTTCCAAAGCCTGAGCCGCGAGTGCTTCAACTGCAACTCAAAGTTGCTTTGTTAGACCACGACGGCAGCCAGTGTGCCGTCCTTATACGGTTGACTCGATTAACCATTTTCTTAATGAGCGCGCGCACTGCGGACAATCTTAGCTGAGCATTCAAATTGAATTAAAGTCGTACGCGCGGACGGCGAAAGAGGATTGACGTCATGCCTGGATTTAAAAGAAGAGATAGCGAGCAGCCAAGAAAATAAAAGAAGATTGCCAGGCGCAATTGAACTTACCGTGAATAGCGCGGCTGGAAAAAATCCCGAGGTTTTTAGGGCTGAAGTGGTGCTGGTAGCGGCATCGAGGCTACATCACGTCGGCGAGTTGGCGGGCTAAAAGCCCTTCTCTCTCTCTCTCTCTCTCTCTCTCTCTCTCTTTCGAGCCTGAAAGGGATCGGGATCAGGCCGCTCACACAGCCGCGGGCGGATGAGTGCGAGCGAGCACCGCGTGCTCCGCCGCTGCCAAACGTATGAATGGCCAGGCAATTACTGCGCTACAAGTTGCTCCAGCCGACGATGCATGTTTCTTTATTTTTCACAGACTCGTTCGATTCACCAGAACGAAAAAAAAATGTTTGACCGAAAGGAACGAAAGAGAAAAAAAAAAAAATCACAGTGCTCGCGGACGAGCGAACAAAATGAGATCGAGAGACAGTAAAAATAACAAGGCGGTGAACACTGACTAAAGGCGACGAACAGGTTGTTCGGGATAGAAGTTGCCACTGATATAGAGTGAAAAAAGAGAGACAGCCCCCGGGACAGGCGTCTAGCCGGGTTCGCGATGCCGAGCGCACTGAAATCCGGGTGCTCTTACGAACGTCAATGGTGCATGCGCGCTGCTATCTATGATGCTAACTGTGGTCCCGCTCCCACCGCGCCACACCACTGCCGCGCCGCCGGCACAGCGAGAGAGCCGAACAGCGCACGCCTTCTTTTGCTATACTCCGCTTTCGCCTACCACTTCCATCCACCACCTCCACCTCCTCCTCCTCCACCGCCACCTCCTCCGCCCTGTTATCCACCTCGCGCGAGTCTCGCTTCGCCTCGAGCTCTACTACTGTCGCCGTCGGCGCTCGGACATCAGCTGCTCGTCTAGACTTCGCTTCTTCTTATCCTCCTTTCTCAACGAATAGACGTAAGCTCCACACGATAAATATACTTAGCTGTCCGTTCTCCATGTCTAACCACTATATTGCCTGATCCCGTTGACGCTCAGCCCCAGCCGTCAACTTCCGTTCAAAATAATTATGTCGTCTATAAATAGAAAATATGCGTTCACGTTATTTTCATAACGAATCTCACTTTTTATCATTCTTTGATTCGGGATTCTTTCACGAGCACACGCGTAGGATTTTCATCACGTATGGCCGGACTAGGAATTAAAGAGATGGAAGCAATTCTATCTCTTCGTTTCCTCTTTCATGTAGTGACTTTATACAATATTCGCAACAAATTTTCATTTTAATAAGTTTCAATGACAAAAGTTTTTGTTGGTGCCAAGGAGCGATGCTTTAACATATTTTACTTTATTTTCAAGATAATGCTGCCATGCAATTAATTAATTCAACAAAGTACTTTCGCCTGTCTGAACGTATCCCCGCGACTTTGTATTTCAATGTTGTTTTCAATTTCTCGCAGCCACGCGTATACAGAAATGTACAAATGAAATTTCGTGCACGTTGAATGTTTACGCAAGCCTCTGTTATTGCAAAATTTTTCTCTCTACAAAGAAAAAAAGAAAAAGAAAATATCCGATAGAATTGTCTAAAAAAACTAGGTCACTTGTCGAAATCATTTGGATTTGTATCATCCGTCAATAACAATAGCTTTCGATTTTTTAATGAAAATGACACAGCAGTAGCAATCTAATAAGGACGACTACGACGACGATGCAAGAAGAGAGAAAAGCAAGCTGTTAGTTATCCGTAAGAAAAGGTAAGTTTGAAATGCGGAAAGATGAGAGAAAATATATATAAACGGATAACAAACCGAGAAAAAACGAAATTTTTTCATTACAAAAAAGCACTCGGAGCGTGCGCGCGCGCGCGCGCGCATGTGTGGAGAGATACGTGCCACAATGGATGTACACATTCAAAATAAACGGTACAAGCCTTTGGACTTTTCTCTCTGCTCGCATTCGCACGCAGGCAACACGCTTCGCTTCCGCGAACGCGCGCTCGACTTAGCGTTTTCCAAATCGCGGAGACAAGTAAAGCGCGAGGAGGAAAAAAATGAGGAGTATGTGCGTACATAGAGAAAGCGTAGCGAGTGCACGCGAACACTCGGCCGTGCAAGCTCGTTGGAAAAAAGTGGAGGCAGTAGAAAGAGAGTAGTAGTGTATGCGTTATAGCCCAGCGCAGCTGAAAGGGGGACGAGCACGGCCCATTCATTGGATGGCGCACGCGGCTCGAAGCTGATTCTAACGTGAAAATGCGTCGTCGACGTAATACCCCTTTCTCTATGATGCATTTTCAACGTTTTCTCTTTTTTATTCACCTCCGCTTCTTCGCTCTTCTTTTACTTTTATTTGTCTTTTTTACGGTCCGCTTTTCATCATTTTCGTTATTGTGTCGCGCCACCGACGAGGAAAATGCAAAATTTCACCTTTATGCATGCATCTGCCCAGTGGACCTAACTATTCCCACTGTTTACTAGAAAATTTTTTTACGTCGTCCGGTTCAATTTTTTTCAACTTTTTCGCGTGTATATGCTTGTGCAAGTTTAAATAACATGTTTCAACGTAATCCTATTATATTTTTATCACCTCGAATAAGCTCTACGAATAAACATACACGTTTTGACGTATAGTAAAGTAAAAACTTTAAAGCTACTTATTCGAGCGACTAATTTGAGGTAAAGTGAAATTTATCGAGTAGGTAGCAGAAGTTACGAGGACAACGAGCGTCCTGTTGCAGTAAGAAGTATAAATAGCCAAAATAATACAGTTAAATGGGTAAAGTTGAATTGGTAATGAGTCTACCGAATAGAAAAAATGAAATGGAACGTAATAAAAGATGTCGTAAATTATTAAAAGAGAGTTTAATGTCAAAGCATTTGGAATCTGTTGAAAGCAAGTTTTGTCATCAAATCTTTGAAAATTGATGTGCATTCGTATAAAACTCAAGCACTTCACTCGTTCAGTCAAACGCATTCATTCAGAAGTTCAACTTGTTTCCGCCTTTCTTAGTACAATCTGCTCTCTCCTCTACGTTCAGCCATGTACTTTTATTATACAAGTACGAAATTCTCATGATTGATAATGCCAGTGAAGATGAAAAAGCTCTATGAGTTAAGGTTCCTAGTTTAATTTGCACTGGGAAAGCCAACCAGTTTGCTATTAACCACAATAAGAGTTCCTCATCTTCCTTCTTTGCGTTTCCCGAGTGCATTTCGAGTAGGAGGCACTCGACGCATACAAGTGCTGTGGAGTACAGGTGGTTGGTAGATTGTAAAAAGAAATGCACTAATTGTGCGCACTTCTTTAACTAAAAATACTTTCGTAAGAGAAAAGACAAAGTAAGTATTGTCAAAATTTATTACGAAGATGAACACTTTTCCTCTATTCAAAGAAGTGAAGTATTTTTTATTATAAAAAATACTTTTAAAATGTTTTATGGATGACAAAAAAAAACTTTTTTTTTAAATGAAATGATATGAACAAATGAATAAATTATAAAAGTAAAAATTTCGTTTTTAAAAGCAAACCTGAGAATAAAATAACGATTTATGTTTAGCTTTGTGAATTTACAAACAAATAATAGCATTTTGGATCCCTTCCATTTATTACTTTCATACCAAAACTAGAAAAGTTGTTATGTAACGCACATTATTGTTATTTAAATGGGGTGTCTATAGAACATATAAACTTTAGTTAGCGGAATAAAAATTGTTTGAACTACAATAATTTCTTTCTATTAAAAAATTCATAAAAACTTTTGCTGTCGATTCCCCGATCGTCAGATAAAACAAATAATCGAACAGTATTTTACAAATTTGAAATGGATATTTTCTCATTGCATGATAAGAATATATATATCGTAGCTACAAATAATAAATGCGGTTGTGATACCAAGTTCATGAAACAGACTTAAAATAAGTCGGTTTTCATTAATATCTCAGGTAATTTACGCGAGTAAAATAGGCATAAGTAAATACAAATAACGAACAGTAATATTGTACTATTTAGTAAATGCTTTGCTATCTACAACAGCATCAGGATTATAGTATACACTACCGCATTCCTAAATACGAAAATCGATAGAATGATATTCAAACAATCGTTTGCACAGAAAAGTATATACATCGATAAACTAAGGTATCCACTCGTTTATTTATTTCAATAATTTGAAAGTTGTGACGGAGAATCTCGGCTAGGCCGATCTCGTCCGTTTAGCTCTCGCAAATGTCCGTGCGCCGCGCCAGGCTGAGAGTGTGTACGTTTGGCACACACGCTCATGCTTGGACCTTTTGTTTGCGAGGTGCTGAACACGGGCTGAGCTGACTGCTGGAGCGACGCAGATGGCGCAGAAGAAGAGAGAAAGAGAGAGAGAGAGAGAGAGAGAGAGTGAGAGAGCGCTCGAATTGCCGATTCGCCGCGGAAAATTGGAGAGTCTCTGCTAGGCATTGAGCGGAGAAAGTCGCGCGCGCGGATAAAACCGAAGGTTCCGGTTTTTCCGAAGTTGGCCCCGCGACCTCGTCGACGTCTTTTCGTTTCCGAGGACACGTCCGGTGCGCGGACGAGTATTTAAGTGTGAGGCTGGGTCGCGCCCAGCCGTGTCCCGAAAGATACCCGGCACCGGTGCGTGTGGGTAACCGGCGAGGCGCGCGGGTGCGCGTGCGTGCAGTTTAGACGTGCTGCAGTACCGAGCAACAGAGGTGCGACGAAGACGACGACAGCAGCAACCATCGAACGAAACAACGGATAAGAGCAGCATCGTAGAGCAAGCGAGAGAACGAGCGAGGAGATAGATAGCGACGACAACAAACATCAGCGAGACGGTCAGCGAGGAGCGCACCAGTGACGTCACGCGCAGAGCGCTCCAGCCGTCGAAGAGGCTGAAGGTCGAGGTCGGTGCCGTGTTTTTCTCTTGTCTCTCTCTCTCTTGCATGTTTGGGCGCCAGCTTATAGGTGGTAGCACGGCAGACCTGCTGGCTATCCCGTTGATAGTTTAACGGCGGAAAGTATTTTGTCGGGCATTATTGTAACGGTTTAATTTATAAAGAGAATCGGCAGGCTGATCAGCCGCCGATTCACCTTTCGCGTTCGGATTCATTGTTGTGCCGTTCGTAGTGTATAAGCGCGAGATCGCTGTATTGTAACTCATTGTTGACGATTAAAGGATTAGTGTTAATCCGCTGTTGTGTTTATTCGCCGCCGTATCACTCCTCATCCCGACTTCGAATCTGTGCGCTTAACGTGTTTATGCTCGACGCGTTATTCAGTCGTGGGAACGTCTTTTGCTTCCCGAATCCCCGAATAAATAATTTGTGCGGACGGCCGCGAGCAACCCAGACGGGTACGGCCGGAATTCTCCGTTACAAAGTAATAATAGCAGTAATGAAAGACTCAATGTAGAACAGATAATCGTCGACAAAATATAAAAATATAAAAATATAATGTTTGAAAGCTTCTGTTCTTGCCATCATAGCCTTACATTTGTAGAAAAGCACGTTTGAGATGTCGAAGATAACGAAAGTTCGTGGAGAAGGAAAAGCCACGGGGGCAGCATTTTTACGTCGACTTTG